CCCCAAAACCCCAAAACCCCAAAACCCCAAAACCCCAAAACCCCAAAAAGTCAAATTACATTGAAAAATAGATTTGTCACTTAGCCAGCCCTCACTGTTCAAGTTTTTGCAAGAGAGAGGGAGTCTTTTTGATACTAAAGCCTGACAAATGAAGAAGCACCAGACTCTTCAGAAACGAAGCTGATCTTGATAATCCTTTTAAAAGGATTTCGATTCCTTGAAGATTTTTTGAAGATGCAGTATGATCGATGACTCAACAGCTATGCAATCTCAGTTCTTTGAGTGTACTTCCATTCAAAGCATGAGTGAAATCAGGAATACCTTCTAAGAAAAATGTTCATTGAGAAAACAAGACAGTTCTCTTATTCTGATAGGCTGAAATTATCCTCATAAATTGTTTCTTGCTTATCTGTAACTTGTGGAGCCAGACTTCTATTTTTATTATATGACTGACACTGATGATCTCTTTCACACACCTCTTTCATTCCTTCAAAGACAATCCTGGAGTTTCAATGTCAAATTTATCAAGTCTTTCAGGAAAGCAATTCAATAGAAAATTCTTCATAGCTTTTAAGCTTTGATAATTCATATTCTTGATCATTAGAGATCTTACTCCAAAAAGAGTCACAGTTTTCCAGCTCTTTATCAGATCGATATCCTTCTGATGTTTGAGGTTTAATTTTAGAGTATTACTTCTTGTTATACGCTTATTTCCATTCACGTAGATACATTTTCTCATAAGGATAAGAATTCATGATGCTCTTAACATGTTCTATCTCATTGTGATGTTTCTTTTCTTCAGTGATAAGGCTTTCTAAGTTGCTTTTGTAATTGCTTTTGTTATCTGATATTAAGTCATTTTGTTGGTATTTTTGCAAAAGATTAATGGCACTCTGTCAAGTTTCATCTAGCTTTTTGTCTAAGAAGTAATCATTTCCATTAGAGATAAGATCTTCCAAAGAAAGCAATTCCTTCAGTGAAGTCAAGCTATCCAATATTTGCTTAACCCTTTCAACGAATGATCTCTGAGCTCAATCTGCATAAAGCCCAAGTATTCTTGCTTCTTTACATACCGCAAGACTTATATCCTCACCAAAATCTCCACTAATACAATCTCTATCATCTAATCCAACCATCTCATACCTATTGCCTACCTTCTTCAGCCCCATTTCCCTATTACCTGCCCTTGCACACTCAGCATCTCCAGGTTTCTCCATATTTATTATTAAAAATCATTACTCTATTCAATCAGCCAGGCTAACTTTGGGGTTTTGGGGTTTTGGGGTTTTGGGG